AGGACAAGGGGTGATGGCTTTAAAGCAGAAGAGGGGGTGACCTTGAAAGGTCCCTCCCAACCCAAACCACTCTGACTCCAGGACACGTAGGTGTACCCCATCCTTGAGATGTACCCAGCTCAGCACAGGCCAGGGGCTGGCAGCACCACTGTCCGTGCGTGCCATGTCCCAGAGCTGTCTGAGCTGGTGTGCTCTGAACCAGGAGCTCTTAGCTGAGATCCTCCAGAGGGGTGACCCTTGGGTGTGTTTGGGCCTGTGGCAGTCTCCAAGTTGAGCTCTCTGCACAGCACCGTGGTGTCATCTCTCCCAGATGTGCTTCGTGTCCTGCTCATTGTTGTGTCTCTCTGGCTGATTCCAGACTGAACGTGCTGCTCTCAGAAGGGCTGTTCTGTAGAGGGCTGTTCTGCTCAGAGCTCATCCCCCTTGCTGTCTTCCAAATGTAATTGTGTTGGGCTGAGGCCTGTTCTCTTAAACCGAGTGATAAATCCTTGAGTTAGAACACGACTGGTGTAGGAGCTCTTAGCTGAGATCCTCCAGAGGGGTGACCCTTGGGTGTGTTTGGGCCTGTGGCAGTCTCTAAGCTGAGCTCTCTGCACAGCGCCGTGGTGTCATCTCTCCCAGATGTGATTCGTGAAATCCTTGGGTTAGAACATGACTGGTGTTTTTTTTTCCCTGATCAAGAATCTTTGTTGTGATACAGACTCATAGTTGGTCATAACCAAAATCCATTTGTGTGAGAGTCATTCCTGTATTACAACTGACAGGGTGTTGGTGCCAGCTCAACACTCAGCTTAGCAGCACAGAGAAACACAGGTTTGTAGGTAGCAACAAGCATCACTCGGAGGCAGAGGAACACTCATCTCTCTGTAGATGAGGGGACAGATACAGGTGATGTGCCCAAGGCTGTGCTGCTGTTAGGGAACAGTTTGGACATCCAGCAGTCCCCAGACTTCACACCCCACTTAGGTTCTCTGGACTCCTTGCTTAATTTGATGCTCCCTGCCTGAGATTAACTGGAAGCCTTTGCAAGCATCTTATTTTTTGAGACACATCCCTGCCTTTCAAGTGGAGAGAGTGTCAAGCACAGAGAAAAGAGTATAGGTTTGACAAAAAAACCTGAAGATTAACCACAGCATGTCCAATTTAAGCCTAAATAATACAAGACAGGACAATGTGTGGCTCTTTGTTTCCCAAGTGTATGAAGCAGGCTGGGCTGGCAGTGGGGCACTTTAGCTCCAAGGAAGCCAAGTCTTGGGTGCCCTTAGCTCTTTTCCTCCCCAACAAGACTCAATGTCTACCCATCTCCTTGTGGGAAAACTCTCACAGTACAGAAAATGGGTGAGAGAGGAGCTTGATGTTTTTTCCCTTCCCCTACTGAGGAGGGAAAGTGAAATGGCATCAAAATTGGAAGGCCTTTGCCCTTTTTGGTAGATAAAGCTATTTTGGATGCAGTTGTTACAGGTACCCATCACTTCCAAGATTACCACGATGGGCTTGAAGAGCATTTCTTCTGCAGGCTGGAATTTACACCAAGGAGTTGTTCTCAGGGTGGTGCTGTCATTTTGCTCACCACCTTCCCTTCCTACGCCTGGACAAGGAAATACCAGGGAGATGTTGGAGGATTTTAATGTTCAGCTGCTGTGTGGGATTCCAGCATTGTAGCTACTGGCAACATCTTCATCGTGTGCCCTCAGTGCTTTATTTCAGAGTGACTAATAAAGAGGCAGGTTTTTTGTTTGCAAGTTCTCCAGGTTAACTCTGTGGTGACAGGTTTCTGATGCAGACAGAAGGCTGGGAGCTGTAGTGTGAGGTAGGCAGGGTGTTGGAAGGAGCAGGTGTTGTGCTAGGGAGTGACGTGGTGCCTCTGGAATAAGCCAAGATGGTGACTAGCAATCCTCCAGCTTAGAAGCCAAGGCTTAGCTAGCACAGCAGCCTGTGTTGTGCTTTAAAAGAGCTGCAGAGGGTGGGATACTACCAGGTCTGTTGGATGCTTATAAGGTTTGGCTGATGGAAGGTGTGCCTCTGGAATAAGCCAAGATGGTGACTACCAACCCTCCAGCTTAGAAGCCAAGGCTTAGCTAGCACAGCAGCCTGTGTTGTGCTTTAAAAGAGCTGCAGAGGGTGGGATACTACCAGGTCTGTTGGTAAGTTGGATGCTTATAAGGTTTGGCTAATGGAAGGTCTTGGTTCTTCTCTTCTCCACTAAATTCAGGCAACAAAACATTGAAGAAAATATGACGATAGCAATGGAAGAGGCCCCTGAGAGTTTTGGGCAGGTGGTGATGCTGTATATCAACTGCAAAGTCAACGGACATCCAGTGAAAGCCTTTGTTGACTCAGGTGAATTGTCCCTGTTTTCATCCTTCTCCACGCTCTCCTTCCCCTTGCTGAGGGAGACTGAAAATGTTCCAGAAGTTTTGACCCCAAATTCCATAATAAAGCACTGCATTACAAGATTTTGAAGCACCTAATTAAAAACTGAGAGTAGCTTGGGCATTGTTTACAGCAAACAGAGCAAACTGTTGTGAGAATCCTGGAGTCAGTTTGGGGCCCCTCACTCCCAGAAGGACCTTGAGGGGCTGGAGAGTGGCCAGAGAAGGGCAACGAAGCTGCTGGGGAAGGGTCTGGGGAACATGGCTTGTGAGGAGCAGCTGAGGGAGCTGGGGGTGCTGAGCCTGGAGCAAAGGATGCTCAGGGGAGACCTTCTGGCTCTGCACAGCTCCTGACAGGAGCCTGGAGCCAGGGTGGGGTTGGGCTCTGCTCCCAAGGGACAGGACAAGGGGCAACAGCCTCAAGTTATCCCAGGGGAGGTCCCTGGAGGGTTGCCCAGGGCTGTGCCAGGCTGCCCAGGGCAGTGGTGGAGTCCCGACCCCTGGAGGGGTTTCCAAGCTGTGGAGATGTGGTGTGAGGGACACGGGGCAGTGGGGACCTGGCAGTGCTGGGGGAAGGGTTGGAGTTGATGACCTTAAAGGTCTTTCCCAACCAAACCAGTTCTCTGATTCTATTCCAGGAGAAGCAGTGCTCATGAGCACTTTAACACCCTGGGTGAAGGCTGCTGTGAGAATTTCTAGGGCCGAGATCCCTGAAAGGTCACTGCCACACGTGTGCCTTAGCTCAGTTTACAGACAGGGTGTTTTTCACATGCCTTTAAAGGGAATGCACAGGGGGGATTTTCCAGCTCCAGCCTCAGGCCCTTCACTGTCAGTGCAGCTCAGTCGTGTGCCATCCGCTGGGACTCACGGGCAGCTCTCACACCCCAGAGCAGCTGTTCATTTCCTGGCTGCTGAGTGCAAGATCTCCCTGCCAGGAGAGAGTTTTCATTTGTGCTGAGCTGTCAGGGTTGAAGGTGGGTTCCCTTGCTGGTAGGTGCCCAGATGACCATCATGAGCCAAGCCTGTGCTGAAAGGTGCAACATCATGCGGCTGGTGGATCGGCGGTGGGCCGGCATCGCCAAGGGCGTGGGGACACAGAAGATCATTGGCAGGGTGCACCTAGGTAAGTCCTGGTGGTCTCGGGGCTGTTGTGGTGGCACTTTGGCTGCACTACCCACAACCTTGGCACCGAGGAGTGTCTGGTTTAGTGCTAGTGATTGTTAGAAACGCCCACAGAGTGAAATCAAAACGCATCTGCTGAATGTTTGTTTGTCACGGTGCTTGCTCTGGGTTCTGGCTTGTTGAATGCTTTTTTAGTGGAATTACCTCAACACTCTTAGGTGAGGGAGTGTCTTGCAGATGTAGAAGACACATCTCTGGAGGGATTCAAAAAACGTGTGGCTGTGGTACTTCAGGACATGGTTTAGTGGTCATGGTAGTGCTGGGTTGATGGTTGGACTTGCTGATCTTAGAGGTCTTTTCCAACCTTCATGATTCTATGTTCACTCTGGGTGCAAAATCCAAGGTTACTGTGAAGCAGCAGGATCCTTCCTGTTTGGGGTGGGGCTGTTGGGCAGTGTGAGTTGTTCAGGAAGAGTTCCAGTACAGTGGAATGTTCCATGTTCCCTTGGGAAGAGGAGGCTGGCAGTGCTCTTGTGCTGGTTTACTGGATGAAAGAAGATCGTCCTTAGTGTCTGAAAAATTCTCTCCACTGCCATTGCTCGTTAGACTTGTGCTCTAATGAGCTGTGTGCAGCTCCCCTAGCTTGCAGGGTCAGACAAGCAGTATCTGAGGCTCTAGAGCAGGTCAGCTTTTAAAATAATTATCTTCTTGAGACAGAGGCAGGCCTGGTGGTCCCTGGGGCTTGCACAGGGCTAGACTTGCTGTGACTGCCAGAGCTCTGATTCCAGATCCTTGTGCAAACCTCTCCCAGGAGGGGGAAGAGCAGAAAGGAGATTTATTGCACTGTAGTGTTTCAAGGTGGTAACTTCTCTCCTCTGTGCTTCAGCTCAGGTCCAAATTGAAGGGGATTTCCTGGCGTGCTCCTTCTCAATCCTTGAAGAGCAGCCCATGGACATGCTTCTAGGACTGGATATGCTGAAGAGGCATCAGGTATCTTTTGAAACAGTTACTGGCTCTTCCAAGAACTAAGCACCTTTTTTAGTGAAGTGCTGAGCACAACATAGTAACTGCCATGCCTGTGAGTTTATTTGGGTTTTTTTGGGGAGGGCTGATGGTGGATTATCTTCCAGATGGTTATGAGAGAACACCACACAGACATCATGGGTAGCTAGAGGGTGTCTGGCTGCTCCCTGAAGTGTTTTGCTCAGATCAAAGACACTCAGAACTTCCCAGATGAATGATTTATGACAAGTCAAGTCATACAGGGCCTGTTGCTGGTGCTTTTGGCCCACGCTGAGCTGCTGGGAGCTGCTCCCCTGGGAAATGGATGGTTTAACCTTGTTGGTCTCCTCCTCTGGGCACTGCCTGACCCTCACGCAGGCCCCTGACGTCTCCATGCTCTTTCCCAGTGCTCCATCGATCTCAAGAAGAATGTCCTGGTGATTGGCACCACTGGCTCACAGACCACCTTCCTCCCAGAGGGGGAGCTGCCTGAGTGTGCCCGCCTGGCCTACGGGGCGGGGCGGGAGGACGTGCGCCCCGAGGAGATCGCAGACCAGGAGCTGGCAGAAGCAATACAGAAGTCTGTAGAGGAAGCAGGTACCAGCAGAAGCCCAGTTGAAATGTTAATCTGTGTAGTTTTCTTGCTGTGCATCAGGACGTCTGTCAGCAGTCCCCCTCCTCAGCTCCTAGGAGATGTTAATCTGTGTAGTTTTCTTGCTGTACGTCAGGATGTCTGTCAGCAGTCCCCTCCTCAGCTCCTAGGAGATAGAATCATTTTGGTTGGGAGCGACCTTCAAGGTCAGTGTTCAGCCATTAACGCAGCGCTGCCAGGTCACCACTAAACCACGTCCCCCAGCACCACATCTCCACAGCTTGGAAACACCCCCACGGATGGGGACTCCACCACCGGCCTGGCACAGACCTGGACAACCCTCCAGGGGAAGACATTTCTCCTCAGCTCCAACCTAAAACTCCCCTGGTGCAAATTGAGGTGTTTCCTCTTGTTCCTTGTGAGCAGAGCCCGACCCCCACCTGGCTCCAGGCTCCTGTCAGGAGCTGTGCAGAGCCAGAAGGTCTCCCCTGAACCTCCTTTGCTCCAGGCTCAGCACCCCCAGCTCCCTCAGCTGCTCCTCCCCACACTTGGGCTCTAGACTGTCCCATCACTTGTTCCTTGGGGAGAATAGCCCAACCCCACCTGGCTCCAGCCTCCTGTCAAACAGCTCCCTAGGCAGGGATGTTGTGGTTCTGGGTGTGGGATTTCAGCATCCTCGTGCCAGGACAGCTTTATGGAGCTTTCCCCAAGTCCTGCTCTTAATAGCTGCAGCATATAAAAATAGAGGAGCCGTAGCAGGGAGTACAGATCTCTGGATAATTTTTAGGGATAGTACTATTTCAGCATTTTCTCCTTAGAATGGTGCTTCTGCCCTTGGAAGGTGAACTGCTTCTCTTCCTGAAGATTTCTGTTGCTCCAAATTTCCAAAGCAGCAGCTGAATTCACATCCTAATGTACATTATCAGCCTTAAATATGACCAGCAAAGAGAATCTTCACCCTCCCTGTGCCTCTGGAACCCATAAGCTGCACAGAGGCAGACTGGCTGGGCTATGGAAGATTTTTGGGAGCTGAAAAAATTAGTGAGGTGGAGATGCCAAAATAGCTGAAAGCTGAGCTAAGAGCCAAACTGTGTGAAGCTCAGATTTTCTGTGGTACTCTTCCCTCCTCACCTTCAGCACATGCTGCTGACTAAAGGGAAGCAGCATTATTTTTAACCCAATATTACAGCAAAGCTGTGAATACCTCACCAAGTGTATTCCTTAGGCCTCTTCCAGAACTTCTCAAGATGACGTTTCATAGGCAAGTGTTTTATAGAGACTTTTGAGTTTTACTGCTGATTTTCCCTCTGAAAGCAGGGAGGAAGGTTCTGCTTCCCACACACATGCAAAACTCTTTGCTGGCTCATATTTAAGCTGATAAAGTTGATTTCTCCAACATTTTTATTGCTAACTTTTTAAGACTTTAGCATGCTTGTGTCTCAAATTGAAGTGTGATAACCAGATTTAACCATATACATGTAAAACTAGTTGTAAGGCACTGAAATTTTTTCTTTAACACTTCCCAATTGCTGCTTTTAATCCTCCAAAGGGTCCCCAGTGACTTTCATGCAAATAACCAAGGTGTTTACATGAAGGGGAGCATGGAACTGCACTTATTGGTCCCTTTGACCACTTTTCTTCCATTCAGGTTTTCCAGTGATGCAAAACCCTCAAGAGGAGGCTTTAGTGAATCACTAAGAAATGGTTTTTGTTTGACTCTGAAAGCCAGATCTGACTGCTTCTTAACATTAGTTGCAGCAAGCAGAGAGGATTTGACCTTGCCCTTGTCAGGTTTAACGTTGCTGAAGGTCAGACTCAGAGCTTGGCCTCATGTCTCTTCACATAACCTGGCAGTGAAAGTGTACAGATGGAAATATTAATTATTTTCCTCTTAAATTTTGGAACCTGCTGAAACCTGGGTTGGTTTTTGTGATATCTCTCCATTTTGCATGAGACTTTGCAGACCTCGTAGTTGGTTGGATTTTGCTGAAAGGGGTCAATAAAAAGCCAGCCTGGGCCCCAAATCTATGAATCTTTACAATAAAAGCATTTTAGTTGAGTGCTTTAAAATGAAAAGTGCCTAAAACAACTTAAATCAAAGCTGCTTATGTACCAGTGCAGTTCTACAGACCCTGTGGCTTTGTGGAGACTAATCAGCAGTCAGCAGTTCCCCATGATGCTGAGCCCCAGAGGAATGTAAAAGATTCATGAGATCAGGAAATCCATTTGGTGTGGTCACTTAATGCTTCTACAACACCCGTCCACAAAACTGAGGCAGGTCTTGTGTAGATGGGCTCTGTGTAAAGTCTTAGACATGTTACAAGCCTCTGACCCACAGGCTGTACCCTGAGATGTTGGAATATTAGAATCATAGAATAGTTCTGGTTGGGAAAGACCTTTAAGGTCAACAAGTCCAACCCTTAAACCCAGCACTGCCAGGTCCCCACTGCCCCGTGTCCCTCACACCACATCTCCAGGGCTTGGAAACCCCTCCAGGGGTGGGGACTCCACCACTGCCCTGGGCAGCCTGGCACAGCCCTGGACAACCCTTGTGGAGAAGACATTTCTCCTCAGCTCCAACCTCAACCTCCCCTGGGGCAGCTTGAGGCCATCTGTCCCTTGTTCCTTGGGAGCAGAGCCCGACCCCCCCCTGGCTCCAGGCTCCTGTCAGGAGCTGTGCAGAGCCAGAAGGTCTCCCCTGAGCCTCCTTTGCGCCAGGCTCAGCACCCCCAGCTCCCTCAGCTGCTCCTCCCCACACTTTGCCTCTAGACCCTTCCCCAGCTTTGTTTCCCTCCTCTGGCCACGCTCCAGCCCCTCAAGGTCCTTCTGGGAGTGAGGGGCCCAAAACTGACCCAAAGATTGAAGGTACAATTAATATATATCCTTTTCCTCTCTTCCAATACAATTAGCTGCTGCTAGATGGTACCAGGAAAATCAAGTGACAGAACAGGGAACTGGAAAGAGAGAGAACATAGTGGAGGACCAAGGAAGCTCAGCTCCCCGCAAGACCTGTGTTCTTTCATAACAGCTTGAATTCTTGCTGCCTTTTGGTAGCTGGTACGACAGAAATTGCTGTGTACATCTGCAGGCTATTAAAGTTCTCATTTTGAGTGCACCTGGATTATTCCTGAGCTTTATTTAATCCCCTGAAGCCCCCTTTAGTGAGCCTCATGATTTCTGTCAGCTGACCTGTTGGTGTTTCAACACCTACAGAAAGGCAGCAGAGGTGGCAGTGGAGCCCTGGTGTGCTTCACTCTGATCTAGGTCTTCCACATCTGCTTCATCTGTGCCCGTGACCTTGCTCTGTTCTGCCAATGTGCCTTGCTTCCCACCACCCCTGGGGAACCTGCTGCTTCTGGAGGAGTTACAAAACTGGCAGCAGAACTGCAGCTGTCTGAGGAGGAGGCATGTTCAGGTAGTTTACCCCATGTACAGCTCTTCCTCCAGACTGCCTGGGTGTCAGAAAGACACTGCCACTGAGTATGCAGCTCAGGCTGTCCCTGATGGAGCACTCTGTGGACTCTTGCTCCCAGTGGTAGCTGGATGGATATCCTTGATGGGGCTGGGCTTTGGCTCCTGTAGCTATCCCGGGAGGAGGATGACAGGGGCTCTCAGGTAGATGGTGCTGGGGAGTGCTGCACAGAGTACCAGCTACTTCAGCTGCCTGAACAACTGCAAATCCCTCATGTGTTTAACAGATCAGACCCATGTTACCAGTTCTCTGAGTCAAGAGAGAGTTCTGCTTCCCCTCTGAAGGACTGGCTTGGGAGCAGGGAGTGTGAGCCTAATCCAGCCATGTAGGAACAGGAAAAGATCCTTCTGTTCTTCTGTGTCATAAGCTTCTTTGCCACCCTTCCAAAAGACAAGTAGTCTGAAAATCCACAGGATAGTTTTGGCTTCTGGCTGCTGAGTAGCTGAGGTGAAAAAGGCAGATTTCTGCTGTGTTGTGGAACCTGGTGGTTGAGCACGTGGGTGTGGTTAGACCCCAGTACAGTTGGGTGTCTGTGAAAGGGGGAAGACTTACAGGAAAACTGGTGTATGTTTACCAGCACTGAGTTTGGAGGTCCCTGGGGAGGGAAAGGGAACTAAAGAACAAATCAGCACAAAATGTGGCTATCTGACACTGGGCAGAGCAGGGCTTTAACAGAGGAACAGCTGCTTGTACAGCAAAGGTCAGGTTGGTGACTGAACAGGAGTCTCAGAGCTGATACATTAGCAAGATTAGGCTACTAGCAAGATAAATTTGCTTATTTAATCTCTCCTGATAACTAGAGGCAGTGTTTGATGCTCCTGATAGAGCTCTGCAATCCATCCGTTCCCCGTGGGGAGCAGGAGGCAGGGAGGGTTTCATTTCTCTGTCTCTTCCTTTGCTTTGCTCTCCCCAGCCTCGGGCAGCTGTTCCCCTGGGGGGTTTCTGCCTTCCCCCCTCGGATCTTCACACTTCCTTTTTGCAGCAAGCTGCCCTTTGCTCACCTGCTTCTCCCTGTGATGCCACCAGCCACTGCAAGGCAATAGCTGCTGGGAGAACAGTCAGAGGGTTGTGATGTCCTCTTATTTCCCTAAAAGGTGGCTGGGGAGAGCCATATGGAGAACAAACCAGCATGGTGCCAGACACGTGCCTTGTGCTGTGCATATTATATCAAGCATGTACGATCACCCATGGACCACTCTGCAGCACAGGGAGTCCAGAACAGCCTTTAAATTCTTCTCCAGCAGAGTTATTTGATTTATATTAAGTTTTTGATGCGACTTAATGAATTTCCCAGGCAGAATTCCTCCTGGAAGGTGGTGAGTGTGAGGAGCTCACTCTGCCTGGCTGGCCAGTCGGGAGGGGAGCTGTGAGGTCCCAGGACTGTAACCATGCATGTGGTGTGCTCTGAATGCTAACACGAGTTTGCTGTGTTTGTTTCCTAATTCAAACAGAACGTCAGAAGCCTTGATGCATGTAGTGTGTGTTTACTGCAGCTGGAGTGGGCCACAGACCAGGTATTTATAGCTCTTAGTTGATAAGTTTTCACTACTATGGTGAAAACTGGTTCTCCTGTGTCCTGACTTCTTTCTTTCTGTCTTCTGTTAGAGAATAGTGACAAAGAAACTACCTCACTGGAAAAGCCCTCATTACCAGCTTCTGATGGGTTTCAAAATCCAGTCCAGTCTTCAGGACTAAATTCCAAGATCTGTAATCCCACAAATCAATTACTTGATCGTTCTGTCTCTGCCCCTGCTTCAATTTGCTCATCCGAATCTAGCCTCGCAGAGCCCACTGATCCTAGAGCTGTCAAGTCTTCTGACTCTTCAACTGAATGCCAGATAGCCCCAGAAAAAAAACATCCTCTCTTACCACAGCATCTTTCCAGTAATGCTTCCCTGGCACATAATGACCCTTCTCCCCAGGCAGGGGAGGTGACCTGTTGTGATCCAGCTTGCCTTTCACAGAAGACACTCAAAGAAGCATTTCTTGCTGACAGCCTAAAGGAATGTAACTCTAAAGAACAAGACTGCAGTCAGGAACATCCTTGGGAAGCAACTAAAGAAAATAACTTGGCTGACACTGTTGCTGAGCATGGGCAAAATAAAGATGTCTGTCTGTCTTCAGAACAGGAGCCAAAACATGAGCTTCCCATAGACCATCAGGAGTGCAAAGACCCAGGAAAGGAACACCTGGAGGAGCAAGCTGAGCCAACTGACCCAGGACCTCCTTGCCACGTTGATGGAGTTGAGAAACCTGCTGTAGGAGAAGCAAGCCAGCCAGAAAATCCTCCTTCAGAACTGAGAGGCGATGGAAAGGAGAAAGCAGGTCTTTCCTGTGTGGAAGGGAGTATCCAAGTGTCAGCCTCCTGTAGCTGTGTGCAGACAGAAGCCTTCATGGAAGTAGATGTGGTTGAGCAGTCTGTAGCTGAAGCACACAGCTTGGAGAGGGAGCAGAAGTGGCAGGCTGGGAACAGAAGTGTAGTTGACCCAAACTCAGACACCTTTTCCATGGAGGTGGAGTCACTCAAGTCTGCAGCCTCCCTGAGCGATTCGCTTTCCACCGGTGATGTCCTGCGGTCTAAAAGCACTAGTGAAATTCCTGCAAAGTATAGTGAGTTGTCTCATTTGGTGACTGAAGACATCTCTTCCCCTTCCAGTGTCCATCAGCTGGACACGGATCCAGGAAGACCTTCAGAAGAGCCCTGTTCCTCTCTAGCATCAGCCCTGAAAGAGCTTCACAAACTCTTGATTATCAGTCGGAAAGGAGAATGTAAAATCCTTGCCTCTGAAGAAGTCTCTCAGCTGGAGCTGAGAGCTCACAGGGAGCCAGCAGCCCAGCAAAAGGGGCTTTCTGAAGGTCAGCAGAAAGATTCAGATCCAGCTGGCCAAGAACAGAGCTGTTCCTTTTGCGAGGTGAGGTCTGAAGGTGGAAGGGCAGAAGGGAAACAGCCTTGTGGTTCTGGCAGAGAAGATGCTGACATCGGGCCTGCGGGTCATGTGCAGCCCACTCCGGGAGGAGGTGATGCAGAGATTCAGTTTTCAGGTAAGAGCGATTTGGTTGTGGTGAATTCTTCAGCAACACCTGACCAGCCACAGAGCTCTGAGCAGGCAGAGGTTTTGGCAGAAGGTTCTCCAAGTCCAACTAGTCCAAATTTGGAGCAAAACGCCTCCGTTTCCTCTCCACCCCCTCTGGAGGAAGGTGCAGCTCAAGATGCTCGGCGCCTGTTGACGGGAGCACCCCAGAGAAGCAGCAGTTCTGCTCCTGGGGGTCCGTGGCCGTTGGGTGGGCACGAGGAACCTCTGCTGAGCCCACCAGCTGGTTATCCTGGACTTCCCTTGGGTGCTCCTCCACCACCTGCCTTCCCTGCAGCTGATGTTGATCGGATCCTCAGCGCTGGCTTCAGCACGCGGGAGGCGCTGGAGGCCTTGGAGCGGGCGGATGGCAACGCAGATCTTGCTCTTCTCATTTTGCTGGCCAAGAGTATCGTCGTTCCTACGTAGCTGTGGAAGAGGCAGCTGGCTGGGGTGTCTTTTAAAGGACATGGTTGAGTTATACACTATAATGTACAAGCAGAATGTTGAGCCAGATTTTTTTAATTATTTGCAGCCAAAGTAACTGGTCTCTGGTGTCCCGCGTTAAATTTGGCCTTTTAAAAGGAAAAAAACCCCAAAATCCTAGCGTTGTGTGGACAGGCTAGCTTTTAATTATGCATACTGGATTAAAATCAATGTTTTTAGTTAAATGTACCATTTTAGAATAAGCTCCAATGTTATGAATAAAAAGCAGAAGCCATTTCAGATCAGCGCCCTGTCCGGCGTGGGACGGGAGGCGCAGGCCGAGTTTGGTGTCACTGCTCCTCCAAAAAAAATGGACTTTGTGGATTTGTTTTAGTTCTCCTCTAAGCCAAGGTCCCACCTGCAACGCTGATGAAACTGCTCCTAAAGGTATGGAGATGCCCACAGACGTGTCACGCTTCGGGGGGGTTGGGAACCTGTGGTTCTGTGTGTGTGCAGGGGAAGGTGACTGTTTTTGCCAAACCTTTTACGCTCTTGGACCAGTGTGTTCAAGTTTACAACATGGGGATAGAAGAAGGGAAGGGATAGAATTTGGTGCTACCAAAACTTAAAGAGACGTTTTAACTTATTTGAAGATGGCTGATGTTAATTGTAAGCAGGGTGGGGAAGGGAAAGGGAGTATTTGACTTTTTTTTTTTATTCTAGCCTTGGCCCCATCATGTTTTCCCCATACAAAACAAGCTCAACCACTTTAAGGCAGAACCTTAATGATGAAATTGTTTAACAAATCAACCACGTGTTATGATTTTTACTCCCCCTCTGCCCGGGGAAGAACAAACTTCTCCAGTGGCTGCGTTCTCTGGGCAAGGGGGTGACCAGAGGAATGAAGAACTCTGATTTGTGGTAGTTTGGGGGGGGTTGGGGATGATCAGCCTCTCAGCTGGGGAAACACGAGCCCGTGGCAGCTGCTGGGGCACAAAGTTGATCCTTTTGCAAGAGTCAGGGCTCCCCAGTAGGGTTTATGAAACAAACATGCTGACGTGGCTTCTGCATTAGAACCATCGTGGCCTTCTGGGCAGTCCCTGCTGAGTAGCCCATGTGATGAGGACTTGCTGAGCCTGGGCTGTAGGAAGCCCTTTCCAGGTGTTTTTTCTTGGGATGAACTATTTTGTGATGCTCTGCAGAGCCCCAGAACAGTGCTGGGGCTGCAGAAGGGAAAGGAAAGTGTGGCTGAAATGCGATAACCAAATTCTAAGTAGGAGCTTGTACTCAGTCCCGCTTGCAAACCTCCAAAGTGGCTTTGGGACAAGTGTTCATCTTGGACTTTCTGCTTTGAGCTAAACCTGAAGTGATGGGTCAGCAGTGGCTGGAAGCATGTTTTTGTTCATGGCTTTTCTTTGTTGTTATCATTGTCTCAGGCCTGTGTTCCTGGTGTTTTCCCTGTTGCACAGCAGATCTGCCTACGTGTGTGTCGGTCTTTGTTCATGCAGGGTGGCATTTAAAAACAACACAAATCTGGTTTCATCTGTGACTTTGCAGGAGTTTCTGATGTTGATGAGTGGTAATGGTCAGAATTTTCTAAGAAACTTGGGCAGGCAGGAGATCCTTTAGAATAACAAAGAGCTTTAAGGCATTCATTTGTGGAATGGAGCTTTTGCATGAGCTGTGCATGTACCAGCTGGGCCTGGGGCTCCCAGACACATTTAGCTGATAGAATCATAGAATGGTTTGGGTTGGAAGGGACCTTAAAGATCATCTAGGTCCAACTCCTGTGCCATGGGCAGGGTCATATCCCACTGCTCATGATGCCAGCAGCAGGCACTGCTCCGTGCGTACGCAGGAAGCTGTTTGGGAACCCCTTGTCAGAGCAGCATCAAGGGAATCACTTGAGGCTCTGTTCAAAATGAGTTACTGAGGCAAGGTTCCAGATTTATGACCTGTACTGGGCAGGTGGGCAGAGCTACCCTGCTGAAGATTTTGTAATATTCTCCTTGCAAAGACCACCTGGAACCAGTGGCAGCCCCCTCTGCAAAGGGTAGCGCTTGGGCTGGCACAGCAGTGCAGTGTCATCAGATCTCTTTAGAAGCTCTAGGTATATATTAGATAATATATTAGCTGTATTAGACCCATTCCCATCCAAATCTGGTTCCTGATCAAAAGCAGCAACAAGAGCAAGGCTCCCAGCTCTCAGATCCAGAGCATCCCCTGTCTAAAGAGCCGAATCTGCCCCCAGTTCACACCACTGGTCTCAGTGAGGTGGTCCTGGGAGCAAGCCCCTGCCTGGCACGCAGAGGGTTGGCCCTCATGGGTGCACAAGAGCTGATTTTGCACCCTCAGCCTGTGGGTTCATCTACTGCCAGCTTCTCAAAGCATCAGATGTTAGCCATTCTATGGTATACCCTTGTCGTATGTACATTTTGGTTTTAGAGGCAGTTGCTCATAGCTAAAGTGTTGCTGCTTTGCACCAGACTGGTTAAAGGCTCTAGTTTGGCCACATTTACTTAGGCTGCATATACAGAATTTATGCTATAAAAGCTTTAGAGCATCAGCCAATTTGCTTCAATGCCCAGTTTTATTCTTTGTCAGATATAATTTTTGAAACCTGCCCTTCTGCCAAAGCTGTACTGAAGCATTTATCATTAGTCCTAGAACTTCCTGGGTAACTTTCTCTGAACTACTAGAAACAAAGCCAGACCCCCCCACACTTACAAATACTTGTAAAACTATTTTATCAAATTGGTCCAAGCCTGGTGATTGAAGAAATCTCTTCATTTCAGAGCCTTGCTTTGCATGAATGGCTACGTGCTACTAAGTTAGAGAATAGTTTTTTTAGGAGCAAGATTTATCTTGGAGAAAATTGGGGCAGTGGTGAGTATTTAAGGTTAAAATAAAGCCTAATAGAACATGTATTTAGTGAATGCTGTCTAATAGTTGTCTTCTGTTTTAATGTGCACATGTGTCCTCTCAGCTGTATGCACACATCCTTCACTCACCCATTTTTGGTCCCTTAACTGGTCTCTGCGCTTACCTGGCCCCAAAATGCTTCTGTTTAAGCAGGGATGGCAGACTGGCCCAGCTTGTTGGCCAGAGCAGACCATGCAGGTAACATTACAAGATGTTCAGGTTCCAAAGGAGCCATGTCCCCTGGCCTAAAGAAGGGCTCTTTACTCTCTTCCCCCTCCTCATTCATCGCAGCTCCAAGATATCAATGGTGCATCAACTTAGCAAAATCATTTCCCTAGGGAAAGTCCATCTATAGGGAATGAAGCAACACCCAGAAGCTGCTTCATAAAGATGCCAGCACGTGTGGGGACCTTTGTGGGTCTGTAGAGGTTGTTTCTGGGTGTGTGCTGCAGCCACTGTGGGTGTGTACCTCGCTCTTGGTTTCTGGGATCTATTCCTGGAAGATCCTGAAGGAATTCACTTGGCCTCTTGCTATTTCTGAACCTGAGAGAAACTCTTAAGAGTTTATTTAGTGAAATATCAGCATCTAAAAGTTTCTGGGCACAGATAATTCTGACAAGAGCAGGAAGTCTGTCCTGGTGGTGGTCCCTGGCATGTTTACCTGCTGCTGGACATTATTGTGACAATCTCTGCCTTGGTGCTACTTCCTATGTAGACACTTGGTCTCCAGGACTGTTAACCCTGTACCTCCTAGATAAGTTCCCTTCTTTCTGTCTCTCCCTCTTGCCATCTCCTTTCCTCAAAAGTAGCAATATTTAAGTGTACTTGCTGAATGCTTAACTTCCAGATAAGTCTTCTTTAAAACACTATGCCATTTATAAATAAAAGGAGGAGTAGATCCTAGAGGTTTCTTCACCAGACTTGGACTTCTTGCCAGAGGGCTCCCCAGAACTCTAACGTGGATTCAAAGAGGAGAAACAGAGAGGCCTTTTTTCCTGCCTCTCTCAGAAGTCAGCTTGGGAAGTGGGGTTGGTTTCATGTGCATCATTCCCTTCTGAGGCGTTCAAGAGATTTCTTCCTGCACTGTGTAGATGGGGCTTAGTCCGTGATCCAAACACGTCGTGGTTTGGGTCTCTCTTTGACTGATGCTTTTGAGCTTAAAGAGTTTTACAGACTCACGTAAGGAACTTGAGGGAATCAATACTCAGGAATCCTAAAGCTGGTTGCATTTGTGTCATTTACTCTTCTGGGCTGAACATACTGTGGTTGTCCTGGGAGGTGGCTGAAGGGAGGAGCGGTTGTGTCATCAGAGAGTGGGATGTGGTTCTGCCCAAAGTAAAACACACTTGATTCTTTTTTTGATTTTTTTTTTTTTTTCTTTTTAATACTGGGGGACTGTTTGTCAACAAAATTGATGTGTAAAAAAATTTGATATTTAAACAAAATGAATAAACACTTTATCATAATGTTGCTTGATTGGTCTGTCTGTATTTCTGAGGTCACCATCTCTGCACTCAAATCCTTCTCTGGCTTTTTTTTCCCCAAAGACAATAGAATTTCCTTAACATAAATGTTGCCATTTTGACATAACAAGTAGAAATCTATGGCTAAAATGATTCCAGCTGGCAGGGCCTGAGAACGGGCGTGAGAAGTTCCTGCATTCCCTTTCTTTGAGGTTGAATCCTTCAGGCAGGACTTGGAAATGGAAGAGATTAGAGTAGGACACAAAACGTAGCGCTTGGCCACAGCACTGTCTGCTGGAAAAATGAACAAGGGGCTTCCTTGTGTCTCCTCTGTCAATACCTCCAGCCAGGCAGGAAACAGTTGGGTTTATTTTTCTGGTGCTGGAAGCAAAAAAAAAAAAGGCACTTATATCCCTGGAAATCTCATGACAGTTTTAGTTAGAAAGAATTTTTTTGTTTTCAGTTCCGTTCTCTTGTTGTCATAGAACATGTTTTGGGAAGTGGGAGTTAGAGGATCTTCCTCTGAGACTCATGGCACAGTCAGGTAGCCCTGAGTGGCAGCATTTGTCTTATCGAGCAATATGTCTTTTTTTTGTGTCTTGAAAATACACTTTTCCT